AATCTCGTTTTTTCATCTGAAAGTTATAGGGGTGGGCCACTTTTGAGACTCACCCGGTATTTTGAGACTCGCCCGGCCCACTTTTGAGACTCACCTAAGGTATTCATGCCCGGTTCTTTTGGTGATTTGCGACCTATCAGTATATTACCGGCTATATCGAAATTATTCGGAAAGATAATTTATAAACAAATTTTAGAGTTTTTGGAGGCTAACAATATTCTTCCAATGGTCCAATCTGGATTTCGTGCTAAACATGGGGCTTCTACAGCTTTGCTTAAGATTGTAGATGATCTTTCTCGCGCCATGGATGGTTCTAAGTGTACAATGTTAGTTCTCTTGGATCAGAGTAAGGCATTCGATTCGGTTCACTTTCAATTGCTTTTAGCTAAGCTTCGATTCTTTGGATCTGATACTGCTGCATTCTCTTGGTTTGAAGATTATCTAAATGATAGGACACAACGAGTAAAGCTGAATAGTTTAGAATTATCCAACTTTAGCGTGACAACGAATGGAGTGCCCCAGGGTAGCATCTTGGGCCCACTCTTATTTTTATTATACACATTTGATTTGCCATCAGCGATTCATAAGTGTCAAATGCATATGTACGCTGACGATGTACAGATATATCTGGAAACTGCCATTGAAGATGCTGGGGACTCTGTTACTATTTTGAACCGCGATTTGGCTGCTTACGAAACATGGTGTAGTAACCATGGACTAATAATAAATTCTAATAAAACTCATGCACTTTGTGTAGGTAATGCGAGGAGTAGAAACTTTATTGTTTCCAATTTTGATTTATCTATTGGTGGTACTCTGATCAAATGGGTCGATGTTGCCAAGAACCTGGGAGTTTACCTAGACAGCGGCCTGACTGAACATCACTGTAATAAAGTATACAAACAAGCTATGTTTAAATTGAAGGGCATGTATAATCTGAAATTTTTGTTGGATGAAGCGACAAAACTTCACCTAATAAAGGCGCTGATATATCCACATTGGGACTATTGCAGTCAGATTTATTGCACTTTATTGACAAACTACAACCAAGCAAAAATACAGAGAGTACAAAATGCATCGGTGAGATTTGTTTGTGATCTACAATATAGAGAGCACGTAACTCCTCACCTAATTAAATTGAATGAGCCTAGACTCTCTTTACGTTTTCAATACCTTTATATTATGTTATTATATAAAGTCTGTACATACAAAGTTCCTCCATATTTATACAATGTACTTATAAAAAGATCAGAAATCCATAGTAGAGATATTAGATTAAATACTTTTACAGTCCCGCGGCATTTAGTTCAAAATTTAAATGTAGTTTTTCCTATAAGGCACCTTTTATTGTTAAACCCAATACTAGATATACTAGATTCACCATTTTCAAGATTTAAATTTGAGATAAAAAATCGTTTGTTTGCTAATTAAAAATAATACATTATTGTCTACTAATTAAATTAATTTAAAATCGTTTTAATGATCAGCTGTTTAAAAAAAATATATATTCTTTATTGTAATTATTCTTTTGCATTTTTTTTTATAATTCGAATTCTAAGTGCAGAATCATTTACTTTTATTTTATGGTGGAGTGGAAGAGTGGCTAACGCCAAACTCCTACCAGTTGTTGTCTAATATTGTATATTTGTAATATTACTCTTTATACAATAAAAATCATTATTTATTTATTTTATTTATTTATATCACTTTTTCACACATGTCCTTCAAATCATCCAATTCAATTGCTGTTAGAAAGAAGTTTCACGTCAAATATACGCATAATATATTAATATCCTAATCATAATATATTTTCTTTTTGCCGTTTTTCAAATAAGTCAAAAATATCCGAGTTTTTTAGCTTTGAAAATTTTAAAAATCATTTTTTGCTTAGAACCACTAGTTTTTTTCCGGGTTTTCATTCTTTTAAAAGTAATCTGCTACCTATGTTTTCATAATATTAAAATATATATTTTAACTAAAAATTAAAAATATTTTCGAAAAATGCCAAAAAAACTCATAGACGTATCTCTAGAGTTTAAATGTACCACCCCTAAAAATATTTGCACTTATTAAAGTCTCACCCTGTATAATAAAAATCGCGAACCCAAACTTGTTTCATCTCAATTTAGTTTAAAGGTCGGTTATTAGCATAGCTGGGATAATTCAGATCAGCACGGTTGCATGTGTGCAAGCCATAACGGGCGCGGTTAATCTAGGACTCGATTAATCCAGACTCTGTTAATTAGGAATTTACTGTAATTATTAATTTCTTGCTATCACGTCACGGCGAACATTATTAAGTTCCAAGTTCCAGAGCGTTAGGAAATAAATTAAACGATTTTGCATGAATCCGGTATTTTTTCTGTAACCCGGTTTTTTTTATTCTCTTGATCACTAGGAAACTCTTTCAAATATCCTGACAAAATATTTTGACAAAAAAAAAATTAAAAAGTAGTTTAATACTATTTTTATTATAAGACATATATACATAATATACATAAATTATTAAACATATATATTAAAAACGGACCCTACTGTATCTTATAAATACAGGGTGGTCCGAACTGTATTCCGGAAACTTCGGCAGCATATTCTGCACATAAAAATAAGTAAAAAAGTTGGTATAAATGTTTGTCCCAAAATGCTTAGTTTCGGAGATACTCGGTGTTAAAATTTCATATTTATTTTGATTTTTTTACAAATAATTAAACGTAAACGTTAAAAGTAACGTCAATATTTGGATGAAAATTGGTGTCTGGGAGTTTTTTGACATGAGAAATTTGATTTTGATATCAATACGACTCTTACTTGTAGAGGGCGCCACCTACATATTTTTTAACGTGTTTGAAGAGTAATAACTTTACGTCCATACCTGTATAAAACTACTGAGTGAAAAAATACGCATTTCCGTAATTTTTTACGTAAAAAATGTCTCTTGGTAAAAATCGCTACGAGAAACCGTTCTCAAGATATTTAGAATGGGAATAATCAATACATGTCAATATTGACAAAAATAAACATGTTGAATAGATAAGTTATTTAAATGAAATGATAAATTTAGGAACTTCTCATTTTTTAAATTAATCATAAATTTTTATCCATTTTTTTTTGCTTATTTTTAACTGCAGAATATGCTGCTCAAGTTTCCGGAATACAGTTATGACCACCCTGTATAGAGTTTAAAAATATATAGGACGTATCTAGGACACACAAGGGCTGTTCTATCGAAGAATCATCACCCTCGTGTGAACACGATATATATCTGGCGATAAATCGTGCACTTGGGGCTCTCGAACGTATTGCAATCCTGCCATTTCCAGAAATAGAACGTTGGAGAAGCGTTCACGCAATCAGGCCTCCATGTGCGTGAATTGTTTTTTTTTTCTTCATTTTCGCACATCGGTATTAGGTCGAGCTTAACGATTAGAAATATACAGGGTATTAAAACCAAGATGGAAAGTGTTTAATTACTGAAGTAAAATAACTAAAATCTCTAGACGGTAAAGGAAAGTAATTAAATATAGAATAGGGGGGGGGGATTAGTTTGAAGTAAGGTCCGACCAAGATCTCGGTCTCGGTCTCAGTTACAGTCATTCTCGGCTAAAATCAGGCCGAGATCTCGATCTCGTTCTCGAAATAAAAAGGCGGAGATTATCGGCCACGGCCGAGACTACACACGATCGTCAAATTAGCTTATTTTTTAACGTATCGCTCCACCTCTCGAAGCGTGGATGAACAAAATACTCCTCCGAAGTCGGAAAATAGAATTGATCGTATCTGAACGGCTGAAGAATCGTCTTTGGATTTCTATGCGTAAACAATGAACGAAATGTTAGATGTTAGTGTCTTATTAATTATAAATACAACAGAATGAAACTAGAAGCTTATGCATTACTAGTCTGCACCACTATCAAGCGTCTCTAGCAAACAACTATTTTTTTATTACATTATCAGATACCTTTTCATATAATAAACTATTGAATAAATATTGCATCGTCTTGGTCTCGGTCTCGGTCTCGGTCTCCGAGATCTTGCTATAGTGTATAAATTGTACTAAATTTGGCTTAATGGCTATATGACAATATTAACGCCCATTATTTTTAGTGTTAAGCTTTTATAGTGGCAGGTATGTTGAAATATATATCTTTTTCCTGAAAATGAGCTTTTTCTCGATTTTTAAGATCTTCTGCTACATAAAACTTACCCATCTTGTACAAAAATATAACATATTTCATTACTGTTTTTGTTTTCCAAAAAATTGCAATATAAATATACAACATGATCTAAAAAACGGCGTCAACGATTGCTGTGAACCGAATGAAGATTGCTTATGCATATGGGAAATGTCATTGGACGTCATTTTTATGACAAAATTTACGGTAGACCATATAAGCAAAGACAGAAAGATTGTACTGGGTCTACTAACAGAGCATTGTAAGCTTAATAGATATCCGAAGCTGATTTGATATCTGCTAAAGCTTAATAGATATCTGAAGCATGCTGTGCAGATTTTGTCAATTTGAATAAGAAACGACAGAGAACATTGTAAATATACAGCAAATGTACGGTTCTTTGTATTAGACAATGACAATCAGTTATGGAAGAGCTATATGGAGAGTTCAATCTTGAAGTTATTAGACATTTTGAAAGGTATAGGACTGGAGAATGTATCCTAAGGATCAAAAGAGGACCACAATAGGTTTGAAAATGTCATAATAGAACAGACCAATAGCCACCATAAAAATAGTAATAATTTTTTAACAAAAAAAATTATTTAAAACAGTAATTCAATTTGAACTATATTCATCTATAAATCAATATCTTACTGTTAATTAAATCCTTTAATTAAATGACAACAAAATGTAATTGATTTGACACAAATTTTGCATGTGCACGCGCATGTTAATGTATTTGATTAGCTGCACTTTGTTTACTTTTGTAAATTACAGTATAGGTCAGAATCGGTCAGCCTAATACTAATTCGCTTGATTTCTCTCTAGGATTTCACTTTGGACTTCTACTTCCGACAATTCTGGACTGATCCGCGACTGGCTTTCCGTAAAAGACCACAGGTGAGTGGATAATTAATTTAAAAGACTTGGTAGATAATAATTTAATACTATAAAGCTTAATTCAGAACCTGATAATTAATAAAAGGAATTAGTGGTTTCAATTACATTTTTTACTTTTTAGTTTACGATCATTTACAGTGTTTGAAAAACACAATTAAAATTAATAAAATATCCTAGCGAAAGCTTAGTTAGTCAGTTGTATCCATAGAGAAAGCCTAATAGGTATTGTTACGGATTCCGTGGGTCCACTATTTAAACTCACGATAAAATACTTAACGATTTTATTTGTTTCACTCTGTACACACAACTTATACTATTTACAACACAACTTATGCAACTACTATTACTCTAACGGTATTTCGCGGTATTTTCAAACTTCAGACTTCAAACTTTCTTCAGACTTTAGACTTCAAACTTCAAACTTTTCCAACTGTCAAAGCGCGGGCCTTATATACCCCCTGGCGGTTGTTTCTAGATTTTTCTAAAGAATTCTATAATTTTCTTTACTTTCTGGCGAATGCGCCAGGTTCCTCAAGGCACGTTGCGATTTTTTTAGCAGTATGCAGTTATGCAACCAGTAATACACCTTGACAGTATAGACATTTTTTTTACAATTTCTCTTGACGAAAGATAATCAAAGGCCAAAATGACATTCCTCGCAAATTTTGAAGTATAATTAGTGGAAAAGTTGAAGGTTTGTTAACTTTTTCCACTAATTGAAAATTCCTACCACTAATTTTGGCATTCTGAATGCTTACGTTCAAATTAGAGGAACAAACTTCTACGCTAATTGAAACCATTAATTGTGAGGTTTGAATGAAGCTTTACTACCACTAATTTTGACGTTTTGAAAAAGCAACTAATTTCTGAGTCTACCGAGACCAATTTCTAGGTATCTAGCATTATCAATACCAAAATTAATTATGCTTTTTAATCAAAACAGGTAGAGATGCTATCTGTGGGATCGGAATTTATCACAAACATATGGGTGCCTGACACGTTTTTCGTCAATGAAAAAACGTCCTCTTTTCACAAAGCCACTACATCAAACGAATTTATCAGAATACACCATTCCGGCAGCATCACCAGAAGTATTCGGTAAGTAGTACTGTATTTTGGCTTGTTCAAATCTTGTTTGTTCTGGAAAACCACCAATTTTTAATCAAGAAGCCTTGGAAAAATTCATACTTAATAGTCAATGTTTAGCGACGTTTCCTGGCCAGTTAGAAGTTTTATAGTCAAAAATCTCGCAACCCCCAAATGTCAGCTCTATGACAAAACAAAACACAACAGCCGGCCGGCCCGTCTACTACTAACCCGCCGCCGGCAAGCTAAACCTCTTCTTACATCACAATTTTACCTGATCACAAATATTTACATTGCTTGCCAATGAATCATACTATTTTCTCTAATCGACTTTCAAATAGAGTGTTTTAGCATTACTAGATAAATAAATAGAGAGATTCCGAAGGAATGCATATTCTTTATTAAAATAGTAAATAAATAAAAGCATTATTATAACAAACTTATTTTCCAAGTTTTACAAAGCGTTTTCCCGAAAGACTAACCGTTTTTTAAAAGCAAATATTGTAATATTTGAGCGGCGTTTTCACCCTCTTGGAATTTGAGATTCCAGAAACCCCTTCTTATCGGTTTTTAAATAAAAAATATTCTAATATTTGAGGGGTGGTTTCACCCACTTAGAATTCGAGTTTCAAAAAATCCCTTCTTATATTACTCTACACCCTAAAGTCAATCCGTTTTCTAAAAATCAGCTTTTTACGTCAAGCGCTTTAAGCAGGATCGTGATTAATCAATGACCAGATTTTTCGAAACACCCTGTATACATTTTTAAAAAATCTTAAAATATGTAAAAAAAACAAAATAGAATATACGTGTTTAAGCGTTTTATCGGAAACTTGATCGTTTTTTAAATAAAAAATATTGTAATATTTGAGGGGTGGTTTCACCCCCTTGGAACTAGAATTTCGAAAAATCCCTTCTTATCGAACCTCTAAACCCTAGAATCAACCTGTATGCCAAAATTAAGCTTCTTACGTTGAGTGGTTTGAGCAGTATCGTGATTAATCAGTGAGTCAGTCAGGATTTTATATATTAGTATAGATTTAATTTACAATTATTATTACTCTTTTATTTACAGATTGACAATTACTGCTTCCTGTCCAATGAACTTACAGTACTTCCCCATGGACAGACAGTTGTGCCACATTGAAATCGAAAGTTGTAAGTATCGCACATTCTCACAAGTATAATTTTAAAAAACGTATTTAAACTTTAGTTGGAATGGAATTAAATATAAAAAAATGCATAATAAAAATCTTATTAGTATAAATATCTAGCTATATTTATTATATAGATTCCATTGAACTATCGGGATAACATTTATTTCAAGTGCATTTTAAAGTTTTTAAAACGCACATACCTCAAAACATACCGGGGATTCAAAAGATACCTGTATATGTGCTTAAATGTATACTGTCAAGCTATGCAGATATAAGCGAGAGCACAATACACCCATACTAAGTTTTATTGTATTCTTATATCTTTGCTTACCAGCATTTTTTTATTAAAAATATAAAATTTATAATAAAATCACGTTTTTTTAGCATAACCGGCATGTATATGATGTCAAACTTATAAAAATGTTTTAAACAACTTATAAAAATGTTTAACAAAATGTTTTTCTTTATTTATATTGGTTTGACAATTAATTGACATCCTGTATAAATGCCGGAGAAAACTCTAAATGCCAGGCGACGGCATTACAGCTTTTCCAATTTTTCTTACAATTCAGCATTCAGCACTTTTTGATCTGTTTTTTCTACACAAGCAAAAGCACTAACAGATAGCTCTTGATCCCATAACAACCAAAATGTTTAAAATATTTTTTTGTTCTGGAAAAATATGTATGAAAATTAGAGAAAATTTGTGTATGGTAAATTCTTTAGCATACTTATTTTTCCAAAATATATTTTTTGTATATAAAATCTCTATAATTTTCTAAATTTTTGTTTCGACACAGATTATTTGCAATTATTTTCTTCACGAATAAAAATTAAATAATGTCGTTTTTTTGTTACTAATAGTTTGGTTAAAAAGTCAATTTTATTTGTTTTACTTATTGGAAATGTTGATCTGTATGTTTGTTATAAAACAGAAAAACCACAAAATATCAGATGCGATACTAAGAAAAATCAATTAAATTAAAGAATTTCATATATGCCATAACTGATCTCAAAGAAAGTAATTTTAAAATAATAATATAACAAATTAGGTTCATTAGAGAGAAAATATTTAAAGAAATCGGTATAAAAAAGAATAGCAATAAAACAATATTAAGACTAAACACAGCTACACTAAAACAATATATAATAATATAATAACAAAACAATACAAATTAAATTAAAAAAAAACCTAAAAGTAAATAAAAGATTAAATTTTTTGTATCTTCAGTACTAAAGTTGTATCAACCTAAAGTGTGTTTTTTCTATAAATATAATATAAAATAAGAAGACTGTGTATTTTGTGGTTTTCCCTGTACAAATCTAACGATATTCTTTGGCCTCTTCTCTACTACAGCACTAGCGGGAGAGGTCCCAAAACTGTCGCCATCTTTGTACAAAAATATTAAGGAAGGAGTATAATGATATCCATGTATTCATCTATTAGAGACATGAATCAACATCATGTATTCCCATTATTGACACTTCTCTTTGACGTTTCAATAGAAACATTTGAATTTGATTTGAAATTTTGCAGATTTTTTTCTCTTTACTGAGCTTATTTTATGTTATTATGTTTTTTATTCTACAGTTGGTTTTGTCTAAAGGTAGTAGATCTAGAAGCAAATTGTGTGGGAACTTAAATTAACGGTGACATTATTGCGATTTATCTAAGACTGTAAAACAGTTAGTTGTGTAGCATCTCGGTCAAAAATCGAGAAAAATAGGTCAAATGAGGGAATAACTTTTCAATGGTAAGTAACTATAATCTGTTACGTGTAGTAAACTAATTCAGTTATAAAATTCACTCAGAATTAACTAATTATAAACTAAAAATAAGTGGAATTGAGTTGGTGTTCGACACTGGTCTCGCTATTAGAACTCTGAATTCAAAAATCGATATCTCGAAATCCATTGGAAATAATTGACTGTAGTTTTTTTCAAAAACTTTCTTAAAGTTAACGCTATATTTTCTTCGCAGACATCATGTTAAAATCTTTACAAATAAAAAAGTTACACGTTTGCTGAAAATTGCTATGCACTAAAAGTAAATGGACGGTTTTTTTGAATTTTTGAATAAAAAAAAACAAGCCTATCGAATTCTTCCCATTTAAACATCTTGTAAAAGATCCAAACTTCAATATAAAAAAAAGTTTCAATATCTAAAGTGGTTCTTATCGCGTGTTATGTGTTAAAAAGTTGAGTTTTTAAATTATCGCGGTTCCTGATGTTTTCTCGTTATAAAAATATAGACACACTAACGATATTCTTATAATTCCATTTCAGATGATCAGAAACATATCTAATAATTTTATCTAGTTATATTTGTAAAATCGGTATTTTTGGGGCTTACTCAACCGGGTCTCACAATGCAAATTCACCTCAAATATCCATTTAGTTGGTCATTGGCAAGCACTCTCTCATTGTACATGAAAATAACAAAACAAACATTTACTGATCTGGATAAAATTGATAGTTAAATAGTAAGACTCACCCGGGGGTACTCCGCCCCCTAACCACTGACATCACTGATATTCTATTCAATATATCACATTCCATATCTTCCATCTAATTCAAATATTATTCGGATCTATTGGTTAATAATCTTCAACAACTAGCTAGTGTCACCTGAAATAGTATAGGGGCTTCCCCCGGACGCAATTCTGCCGCTAAACAGATTCGCATCCCAATCGAATAAGCTATTTGGGTGGCTCACCATCCCAACGCCGCATCGTCAATCGAGAAGACAATATGGAGACCTCAAACTCTCAAGACCAACTCGAAGGCAAGACGTCACAGAGGTTTTCTTACCGTGGTCAAACGACCCCGTTGGCTTACAGTCAAACGACTTGCAACTATATTAGTCAAAAGACTCGCAACTTCCATTTGTCAGCTCTGTGACGAAACACAACACTACACAGCCGGCCGGCCTATCAACAACTGACTGACCTGCCGCCTCCGAGCTAAGCCTCCTCTTACATCACATTTTTACCTGATCACAAATATTTACATCGCTTGCCAATGAATCATACTGTTTTCTCTAATCGACTTTCAAATAGAGTGTTTTAGCATTACCATATAAATAAATAGAGAGTTTCCGAAGGAATGCATATTGTTTATTAGAATAGTGAATAAATAAAAGCATTATTATGACGAACTTATTTTCCAAGTTTTACATATTTCAAAAAAAAATTAAAAATAAGCGGTTTGCGATCGTGATTTTACTTTACTTGATAGGGAAAGGCGTACCGGATAAATGTGGCAACGCCGCAACAGCCCACGGTCGCATTTCTCTCACTCCGACTTAATAAGATCCCTATGCGATTTACTTCCACACATGTAAATACAGACCCAAAAGGAAGAGTTGCCAGCACGGTATACAGGGTGGTCCAAACTGTATTCCGGAAACTTCGGTAGCATATTCTGCAGACAAATATAAGTTACAAAGTTCCTATAAATGTATGTTCTGAAATGCTTAGTTTCGGAGATACAGGGTGTAGAGAAGTTTCATTTTTATTTCGATTCTTTCTAAATAAATTCTGAAGTAACGTCAATATTTGGATGAAAATTGGTATATAGGAGTGTTTTGACATGAGAAATTTGATTTCGATGTCAATATGACTCCTATTTGTAGGGAGCTCCACCTACATGTGTTTTAATTGTTTTGAAGAGTAATAACTTTTTGTCCGTACTTGTATAAAACTACTTAGTGAAAAAATGTACATCTCCATGACTTTTTACGTAAAAAATGTCTCTTAGTAAAAATCGCTACGAGCAACCGTTTTCAAGATATTTAGAAGGGAAATAGCCAATACATGTCATTATTGACAAAAAATAAACACGTTGAGTAGATAGTTATTTGACTCAAATAATAAATTTGGGAAATTTTCATTTTTTTAAATTAGTCATAAATTTTTCTGCCAAAAAAATGATGATAAAACAGTTTCTGTGTAACGTTTGGCACAAAAACATTTCAAATTTATGATTTTAGCCTAATAACTATATTTAGTCAACATATTTAATTTAAGTCAATTATGACAGGTATTGATAATTTCGATTCCAAATATCTCGAGAACCATTACTCGTAGCAATTTTTACGAAAGGACATTTTTCACGTAAAAAACGTCGTAAATGTATATTTTTTTACTCATTACTTTTATACAGGTACGGACAAAAAGTTATTACTCTTCAAACCCGTTAAAAAATTTGTAGGTGGCGCCCTCTACAAGTAGGAGTCATATTGATATCGAAATCGAATTTCTCATGTCAAAAAACTCCCAAACACCAATTTCCATCCAAATATTGACGTTACTTCAGAAATTATTTGGAAAAAATCGAAATAAAAATGAAATATCTTCGCCCTGTACTTATTTACGTACGAACTTTTTTACTTATTTTTATCTGCGGAATATGCTGCCGAAGTTTCCGGAATACAGTTCGGATCACCCTGTACATTGTATATTGTTCTAGCATTTTTGCTTTTACTTACTACTAGCCAAAAGAAATTAGGATACATCAATTTGACTTACCTACGTGTCTTAGTAGCTTATCTGATGTTTTATTATTAAATAATTATTACGACTTATCTATTTTTATTAGAAATTCATATTTTTATAATAATTTTAATAACTATTAACATTTATTGACAACGTAAAAGAAATACTGTAAAATCTATAACCTATATTATAATTTTACACATTTTAAATAAATTTAGAACGGTACTGATCAACCGAAGTCAGCCATATTAGGTACCCATCGCGCTCCACCAAGTTTTTCGGTATGCTCCTTCCTTAATCTTTTTATTCAAAGGCCGCAATCGAAAAAATAACCACAAATGTATTTTAAAACAAGAAAAACAGTACGTTTACGTAGTTCGTGAGCCGATTGAAAAACACTCGACACGAGCCTCGTCACACCTCTCTGCTAGAAACGAAAAAAAATCGAAAAAAAAAAATTTGCGAGCCCGGCCCTGGACCTGGAACTGTGACAAAATGGCCGCCG